AAAAAAATTGATAAATTTTTTTTATTACTAATAATTAGATTATTATTATTGTTATTATAACATTTATTTTAAACTATTAGTAAATTATTTTAGTAGTAATTAACACAATTAATTTTAATTGCAAAAATAATAATAATATGTTTTTAAGCTAACTAAAGGAATATTGTTTGTATATATATATATACTGTATATTGTAGTTTACCTAAAAATATATTTGTGTTTTTATTTTTATTTTTTTTTTAAATATATAAATTATATATAAAATAATAATTTTTATTTTTTCTTAGATAATGATGATCAAGAGTGTGTACGAAATAAGGATTGCAATAACGGCCAATTGTGCAAGGGCAATCAATGCGTTGAACCGGATACAAATAATCAAGCAAGCTCATCCAAGATTTTAGATTAATTAACATTAACAACATCAACAAATAAGTAACAAGTACAATTTACTAGTATAAGTTTTTATTTTTATATATTTAAAAAATTTATGATTATTATTATTGTTTTTGTTTGTAGAATGCTGTTTATTGTAATGATGTGATATCTGATTAATAAATAAAATTTTTATTGTTGTTGTTGTTGTTATTTTTTATATTTAAATATTTTATTGGAATTTAAAATGATTATAATAGGAGTGAAAAATAAATTTTTTGTTTTGTTTCAAATTAATTTTTTTGTTAATAAACTTTATTTCATTGTTTAGAATTTGTCTTACATATGATAGACAATCCCAATTTGTGACAAACATATATATACAGTATATATATATAATATATAGTGTATATAAATATAATGTAAATTAATTATATATATATATGTGTGTAATTTATATACGCTATATATTATATATAGTTATTTTAGATGATATGATTCGGGTCTTAAAGTGTCCGACAATGGTCTGTCGTCTGGCCGTCAAGTGTTCATAGATATTGACAAATACGTTAAGTTTGCCCAAAACGTATGGATTCTGTATATATATGGGTATTGACCAGGGTTTTAAGAAAATAAATGCCTGCCCTGGCAATGCCCAAATAGATGCCATAAATTTCTGGGCGGCGTGTTATCAACTAAGATTCGTAACTTGCGTGCACTTAACTCCTCACTTAAGTGAAATCCTGTGTTATTAAACATTTTAGCAAGTTAGGTTTACGGGTAAGTTAGGAGAGGACTTAAGTATACAAAACTGGTTTTTAGGTGAAAAGTGTGTTAAGAAAACAAGTTAGTGCTAGAGTTAGGTGTAAAGTTAGGATAGCTTTAACCCAACTTTAGCTATACTTTAACATTGATAGTAATGTTTATTTTATAGTTTAAAATATTTATACTTATAAATTTAATAAAACACTGTATTATTATCACTACAAAAAAGAGTTACGTTTGCGTAAAGCAAAACATTTTGTAGTAACGCTACTCTATACTTAACTTAAGGAAATCGCAAACGTAAACCTAAGTGTATTCCTTATGATAACACTCACCCCTGGCATTTTGGGCATTTATCTTATTTGCCTGCCAATTTAAATTGCTAAAAAACAACTGTATTTATAAAAATAATGTAATTTAGTGTTTTAGCGTTTTAATTAAATTTACAATTAATTAATTTATTTCCAATGATATTACCTTTTAATTAAAGGTATACAAAACAAAAATGCAAGCAAATATATTATAAAAACAATGTTTTATAAATTAATTAATAATATAAAATTAAAATAATAGGTGTCACCACCTGAAAATAGATGCCCAGGGCATGACAGAGGCAGGGCAGGCATGACAGAGGCAGGGCAGGCATTTGGCAAAATTGGCATCTATTGTTTATGCCTGCCATTTTTAAAACCCTGGTATTGACACACATAATAACAATAATTAATATAACAATCAACAATATTATAGTAATTAATAACAAACACAAACCTCAATAATATTGAAACATTTTGCATGAAAAGTATAGACAAACTGTTGATAACAATCACCGGATTTATAAGTCTATAATAGTCTGTTCATGATTTTCATCAATCGATTGTCTGTTTATTTCTGTATTTATAAGCCGTTTTAAGGTATGATTAACTGTAAACAATGGTTCATTGTTTAAATTATTTTGATTATTATTAGATAATTTAGTTTTAACTAAAAATTAAAAAGTTTTATATGTTAGCGAACTTAATGATGAACCAAAAATTAATCCAAATAATGATCCAATAAAATATATATAATCTTCAGTTGTTATTTTAATTAATTTATTAATTAAAATATCCGGATAATTTGATTGATGAATACGAATTAAATATGATTGATTAAGTTGAGGATAAAATTCATTTTGTTGTTGACTTATCTGATAATAATTTTTTAAGCAACTATGAATAGTTTTGCATTTTGATGTGCAGTTGTTTTTTATTTCAAAATAATTTTTTTGGATTTTTATTAAATTTTCGATTTCCACTGGTTTTATACTTTTTCTAATGATGAGTGCCATAAATAATATTTTGGATAATAAATTGTTTGGTTAATAATTATATCAATAATACAATCATTAATACATTGTTCGTTAGTGATTTTATCAATACATATCCCATTCCAACTATAATTATTAATATTTTTATACGACATTAATGTGCGACTATAACTTATATAAGTAAGATGATTGTTATTTAATAGTATTATTAATGATTTTTGTAGATAACTATTATATATATATTTTCAGTTGGAGAATGAATCAATAATTTTAGTAATTTATTAGTTATTTTATTTTTATCAGTAATAAACAATTCATAAATTAATTTCGATTGTAAATCAATAGCAGTTTGAGATTTTATTCTAAATGTATAGCAAATATCCTTATAGTTAATCGATTTACTAATAGATAAAAAATTAAAACAATTTTCATATCTATCATAACTACTCGTATTGTTTAAAACGTTGCAATCAATAATATTTTCTAATGATTCCATATTATTTAATTGTTCAATTAGTGTTAGATTATTATTAATATTATCAATATAAAATTCAACATTACTTTTTCTCAAAGTGTTATACAAATAATTTTTGTCGATGATTAATGTTGATTTACCCACACATAATGTAAGCGCTGGTATTTCAGTGATTGTAATTAAATCATAATCAATATTTGACTCAAACAGTAAATATTTATAAGTAATTCTATAAAATTGATACAAACAAAAAAAATACCAAAAATAATAAATATATAATATATTTAACTTTCTTTTTAAATAACATTTTTCAAATAGATATTACTATAAATAAAAGTTTATATATTGATATTGTTATTTTTTAATGTAGAATTTTAGTGATTACTATATATATATATATATATATATATATATATATATATATATATATATATATATAATTTTCAACATTAATGTTTTTATGTTTTACACAGCATAGTATTATTTTTTTGAAATAGTAGAAAATAATACAATTGATAATTATATAATAACTTGTAGTTTAGAGTAAATAACATTTAAAATTATATTAATAATATATTTATTTTTTATGTAATATTGTAACTTACAATAAACATTTGTATAATTATTATTTCAAAAAAAATTTTCCGTTATATCTCATACAATAAGTTTGAATTTTGATGTTTGAACAATAGTTTATATATAATTATGAATACTATTATATTTAATTGAAGTTTAACATTTAATTTTAATAACTATATCAAAATATAAGGTCTACACTGTTTAGTCAATGTAATTATAAATGTCAAATATACTGTATATAGTTTATAAAAGATTTTTTTTAAATTTTTATTAACAATTTTTAATGTCAATCATTTTAAGCACATTCAATTAATTTATTTCAGTAATATAGATATTTTAATTATTCATAGTATTTAATAATAAATAATTTAATTGCAATATATATATATATAATAAAAATAATATTAAATATGTATAATAAAATACCTGTATTTATATTATGTTAGATACAATCAACTGTATTGTATAACTAGTATTATACTGTATGCTGTCTCTCAATTGATTAGTCAGTTATTCAAAAAGTTAATATTTCAAAATATTATTATTATTATTATATTACTTTTAAATTTATAAATAGTATATATATATATATATATATTTATCTGATGACACATTTCGAAAAAAAATTATAAAACTTATTTAAATGTAATTTTCGAATAAAATATTATAATTAATTATTTTAATATAAATTATTTTAATAATAAATTATTTTTATTTTGTAAAATTATATCAAATATATTAATATTTTAATTATATAGAAAACATATAAATTAAATAGTTTGATTAAATAAAAATTTTAATAAATCCAAACAAACTTTTTTTTAAATATTATAATATAATTTTAAAAATAAATGTTATTAAGCATTAATTATAATTGATTTAGTAAAATATTATTATTATATAACGGGTAGTTTAATAATAGACATTATTTTTACATAATTTGAAATAATTTTTTGAATCACGTATCCCCTAAAAAAAAAATAAAATAAAAAAGTATTACAACAAAATCATGCAATACTTTTGTGTTGCCATTCAATTATTGAATTTAAATATAACAACAAAAAACAATGCATTCAATTAACTAAACAATTTAAAGCAAAGAAAAAATTATTTAAAAATTTTTAAAAATATAATTAAATTGTAATCATATATTATATTTTGATTTATTATATAATTAGTATCTGATAAGTAATTTATCAAAACATTATTATTATTATTATTATTATTATTATAGTTACCGGTACTGTTAGTATAAAAATTATATAAAACTTATATAATTATCAATAATTTTTTTTGCATCATTAATATCATAATAGGATAAATAGATTATTATTATTATTAGGTAATACTGTATTATCACAAATTAAATAATTTAAATATCAAATCAAATTCAAATTTATATCAAATTAACAAAAAAAAAATAAATAAAAGTTATAACATAATTATTAAATGATTTATTAAATTAATATAACAGTTATTTATAATTATAGTAATAACAAATTAAATGCTATAACTATAGGTATAATACAAGAGTTTTGCATTAAATTTTGGTAAATGTTTGCCAAAATTGTCGACAATTTGTGACATATTTTTCAGACTAATGGCATGTTTTTCGATCAACTCTTTGACGATCACTGTTGCGATGTTTTCGCTGATAAAGTCGTTAACCATTTTCACCAACACTTCATCGGCGCCGAAATCTTCGAAAAGTTTCAATATTTTCATAGCATTGGTTGAATTGATTCGCAAGAAAATCCAATTCAGACACAAAGTCTTCAGCGATGATACCATATATTTGTCGGCAACGTATAGCAACTGATCAGTCATTTCATCCAATTTGTCACACATTCCGGTCGAAAGATATTTCAAGAACTGTTCGAAGACATCGCTGCCGATGTCATCGATAATCACTTCGTTAGTTGTTTTCTCCGTACAATCGGTGGTAAACATCTTCTCGAAAACTTCTGATTCCAGACACAGAAAATGTTTTGAAGTGTAAAACTCTTTGCGATCTTTGCCGACAATCAGTCGACAATTGCTTAGCTCTTTCAGTGAAAACAATTGAGCGAAACGACGAAAACGTTTTGCGCCACAATTTTCGTGACAATTGCTTTTCTTGAATATCTTAAAGTCGACAACAATGGTCAGCGTATTGTCCGGCAATAGTTTCACCCTATTGTCCATCAATTGTTGTCTAGTGATAATCGATGGATTACCCCAACCAGTGATCTCTTCAAATCGACATTTAAACTCTTTTTTCACAAACAATTGGTTAGCATTGAAGTTGTTATCACAGATGGACAACGAGTATTGTGTATGAACTGGTAGTTCATTGCTTTCATTCAAATGTAAATACAGACCAATAATGTTATCTTTCAAACAGATTTCAATATCCCATTTATCTGATCCGATGTTGAAGTCATCGCTATAATAACATTTCTCTTTAATCCAATTGGTGTCCAATTGTTTAGCAAAATCCATGACTTTGTAAACCACACGAGTCTTGTATACGACTTTGTTGTTGTTGTTGTTGTTGTTGTCATCATCAGTGGTGGTGGTGTTGGTGGTGTCCAATGATCTCTTCATTGTTGTCATTGAAATCAATCAGTTAATTGAAAAAATAAAAAAATCCGATTATAATTACAAACAAAATATTTTAATACTTATGTCTTATATTAGTAATTCATACAAAAAAACAATGCAATCAATTGACTAAAAAGTATTTAAAGTACGAAAAAACTTTCATTCAATTGACTAAAAATGTATTTAAAGTACAAAAAAAATTTCATTCAATTGACTAAAAAAGTATTTAAAGTACGAAAAAACTTTCATTCAATTGACTAAAAATGTATTTAAAGTACAAAAAAAATTTCATTCAAAAAAAATAGTTAATATAACATAAAGTATATAATTTTTTTTAAAAACGCAAATTTATTGAAACAAAATTATAAATAATATATTTATTAATGAAAAAAAAACCAAAATTACTACTACTAATAATAATATTGTAATTATAATTTACAAAAAAATATTAATATATTCAATATTTTTTCCCCATACATTAAATTGTATTTATAATGATATAGATTTTAATAAATTAATTATTGAAAAAAAACTATAAATAAACAGCACATTTTAATACTATAATAAAACATTTATAACATTAATCAAAAAATATTTTACACTTTGATTTATTAAATAATTTATTATATAATTAGATAGAAAAAAAATAAAATAACAAAAAATTAATAAATTAATAATTATTATTTTTTTATCATTGATAAGTAATTTAGCAAAATATTACTGTATTTAAAATACAGTATTTTAGTACTAAAAATAGATATTTATGTTTAATTTCATTAATATTATTTTTTAGGTAAAATAATTTAATTGCTAAAAAAATTATGATAATTATTGTTAGTGTTTATCATATTTTTTTGTTTGTTTATTATTAAATTGTGTAAAATAAGTTTTTTTTTTAAAAATTAAGTTACAATAAAGTTAAGCAAATGTTAATTTTATTTAGATTTTATAAATCAGTTTTATATATTTTTTTAATAATACATTTTTTAAATGCATTCGTCTACAAAAAAAATCTAATATTTTATATTAAATTTATTTATTTATACAATAAAAAATTATTATTTAACTATATTTACAGTATTTTTAACGTAAAAATATATATATTTATTTATAATTTTTGAAAAAAATTAATTAACATTAGAAAAAATTAATTAACATTAGAAACACACACATAAACTAAAATAAACTATTAAAACAAACAAAAAAAGTAAATATTAATTATAATAATAATATTAATAATTAATTTTTAAGTAAAATAAGAATAATATTTTTAATAATAGAAATGAAAACTAAATTTTTGAAACATTTTTTTGATGAGTGAGTTAAACATACGATCAGTCACTCACTTACACACCGACTGACTGTCCGATTATAGCGTCAAATTGTCCGACAGTTTGGACAGCCGTTCATTGATTGGCAGATCAATGTAGACATCATTTTTCTGGCTATTCTTATCCCTCAACTGTAGCTTAATCTTGCGCTCCAATACTAGCGAAGTGGCCGGTTGTTCGTCACCAACGCCACCGCTGGATGATGTTGTCGGGTCTTGTTGTTGTTGGCCATCACCGCCGCCGATGCCGCCGCCCAACAGATCTGGGTTTGCGGGTTTGTTCAGTTGGTTTTCCAACGACTTGTCCACCCATTCCTCATCGACAGTGATGTGTACATTGGCTCCCGGTTTGATCAGTTGCGACTCGTGAGCGAAAGCAATCTTATTGATGATACGCCGCTCGACTTCGTGTTTGATACTACGGGCGCCGTAGTGGACATTATATTCGTCGGCAATCATACCGACGATGCGCTTATCCCATGTCAGTTCCATTTTGTGTCTGGTTTTGGCCTTCTCGGCCCAGGCCATCAGTTCCCGAGTGACCAGTTCGTTGAGTTCTGATCGCGAAAACGACAAAAAGTATACCATTTCGTTGATTCGGCCCAAAAACTCGTCCCGTTTGAAGTGTTTCTTCAGTATGGGTCGAATAACTTGTTCTTTGAAATCTTTCGATACCTGAACATCATCGACATTAGTGTCGGACAAATCGGACAATTGGTCGCTGCCTTCCAATCGTGCTTTGGATACATCGTCGGCAACTTTACGTAATTGTTGACTGTAGGCACCGATTACATCGCTGGCCAAATTGCTGGTCATTATGAAGATGGCATCTTTGCATTCGACAGTATGTCCTTTACCGTCGGTCATACGGCCCTAATAAGTCAAATAAAAAAAAAGAGTCAATACGAGTGTGAGAGAGAAAGAGTAGTTTTAAGGGTAGGGTAGAGATGGTATACCTCATCGAACAGTTGCAATAGTATGGTTAGGACATCGTTGTGGGCCTTCTCTACCTCATCGAACAGTACGACAGCATTGGGACACTCTTTCAAGGCTTTGGTCAACTGTCCGCCGTCGTCGTGGCCAATATAGCCGGGCGGTGAACCGATAAATTTGGCCACTTCGTGCTTCTCCTGATATTCGGTCATATCTAGCCGTATGAAACCTTTTTTCTCGTTTTTTCCCGAATGCAAATAACGGGCCACTTGTTTGGCCAATTCGGTTTTGCCGATACCCGACGAACCGAGAAACAGGAATACTAGTGGATGTTCGTCATCGTACCAGCCGTTCTCTTTGCGTCGTATGGCCGCCGCTACTGTCGTAATGGCCGACTGTTGGCCGACAATAACCTGTTTGATACGTTCTTCTAGCGGAAACTTTAGCCGTTCCTCTAGTTGTCGCTGTTTTTGGACGTCGGCAAAGTTGGTCTCGTGTTCGGCTAATAGTCGGCGAACTCGTTGGTTGTCTTGTTTACAGTAATCGATAGGTTTGTGTCCCATTTCGTTATCGATTATCGGATTGGCTCCGCGTTTGATCAGCAGTTCAATGGTAGGCATCGAGTTGGCCAATACAGCGTAGTGTAGGGCAGTTGTACCGCGAAACGATACCCGAGTGGACAACAAATCCGAGAATTCCGATTCGCGTGACATCGCTATACGCAAATAGTTGAGTCCGTACTGATAGGATAGCTTCTGGGCAGAGGAGTACTCATCGGTGTCGTCGATATCGGCGCCGGCGTCCAGTAGTGCTTCGCAAATATCGGTCCAACCGTTAACAGCGGCCAACTGCAAGGGTGTCCAACCTAACTGATGGCGACAGTTGTTGATATCCAATGATTTGTCGGCAATCATCTGTTTGACCAGTTCTGAGTCACCGCGTTTGACTGCGTCGAACAGTTTCTCCTCTTTCGGTGTGTTCTGGCGTCGGCCGCCACCACCGCCACCGTTCCGGTCATCGATACGCAAACAGTGAACCGCACGCAACGATGATAACCATCGCCGACGGGTACTATAATAATGATAGCCACCGATAGTACAGCAGACACAGGCGGCCAACGATATGGCTTTCCATGCGTTGGTCGCCGACGACGACGACGATATCGGTAGTCGGTGTCGACCAATGAACGAAGCGGTTGACGATCGCCAGCGTCTATGATGTCCAGTAGCTGTGGTCAACAGCGGCTGCCGTACTCTACTTCGGGCGGTCAGCGCTGCTGTTGCTGCTGATGATGACGACGACGACGGCGACAGTAAATGTCCTAAACGTCTAACGTTTATCATGTGTTCACACGTGTGTTGTATACAAATGTGTGGATCAGTTCGGGTGACCAAAAAAAAAAACAAATTACAAGAAGAAGTGTTGAGAGAGAAACAACTGACACAAAACCCAACGGAAGAAGTGATTTCTTTGGGAAAAGAAAACAAAAAATTGAAGAATAATTCCGAAACAAACCGATAGACAGACTGACTGAATGACTGTTCGAATTCGAATTCCTGAAGAATATTCGATAAAACACTAGTAAAAACAAAAAATAAAACACGAATTGCACGTGCAATCAGTTAGTACGTGTTTGTGCGCGCGCGCGATATCACATACACTGTGTAACTAATAACGATTCGTAACTGTAATATACGGTATATTCATACTTCACAACAATAGGCCACTAATACAAACAAATTGTGAATGTACAGTACTGTTTAATCAAATAAATGGTTATGATTATACGAATGGCCCATTACACAACTATACAGTAAAACCTAAATTTGTATACTGTAATATTATAAAAATGTTAGATTATATTCAAAACCAAAACAATAATGGCCAACCACAAACATAGTAGTGTATGTATATGCGCGCAATATTAGTGTTTAATGCTTATGGAGCGGACTTTTTACTAAGCATAGACGAGTGATAAAAATTACAAATACTAAAATAATATTTTTATTTTTATTTATGTAATGATCCTGGATAAAATTAAAACATACACTTAAACTAGTACAAAATCATGATAACACTTATTTTTATCACTGGCATAGACTATATGTTACATAGTTATTATACATACTATTTGATTTGTATGTATATATTTTATGTAATCTATGTGTTTGTGGTGCGTCTGTTTTTGTTTTGGTTTTGTTTATAATGAGATTTTTATAGTTGAGTTTTTATAACAATAAATTTAAAAATGATATTTTATTGGAGGCGTGCATACACATGCGCAATAAATATTTTTGTGACGTAAGTGCTTTGAATAAAAAAACTATATTTGTATTGTAAATTTTATTGAATGTGTTTTTTATTGTATTTACTGAAACCCCTTTCAACTGATGTGAAACACACTTAACTGTATAGCAATAGATTTCGCTATATATATAGTATTATAAGTATTGTTTGGATTTTACGTTATATACAGTACAGTAATTTATATGATAACTCTATATAGAGTTTTCAAATGTACAGTACAGTACAGTTAGCCTTATTTTTAAAAAAAAAACAAACAGTTGCATCATAATTAGATACCAAATAAATAATTATTTAATAATAATTATTAAATATGTAATACTGTATTAATAACAGTACAGTACATGTAGTAATATTAATACAATTCTACTGTATATCAAATAGTAATATATACATATATATATTTATTTTTATACATTATTATATATTTGTAAATTATTAATTTAAAAAAAACTAATTAAATAACTAATAATAATTATTAAATATTTAATTATTTAATATAGATTGTATTTATTATTAATATTAAATAATTATAAAAAAATAAATTATACCATGTATATTATACTGTATATTAAATGTGTGGGGGATTTACTGTAATAATTTACAATAATTTTGAACGTCATTTATGTGTAGAAAAATAAAAGACAATAAACTTTTTTCCAATACAAATAAACATTGAATTTTGGTACTTTTTAATACAAGCAAACTGTATAACATTTTATAGTATTTTATTCTAAATACAAATAGTACTAAATTGTCGGCCATTTATTGTTTGGTTTATTTTTTGTTGATGTTATTGTCAATCATTTAATGTGTTGTTTATTATAATACACACACAATGGCTGCCAATAATAGTAGACAACAACAAGCGGTCAACAATTGTTTGAACGCCCGATAAGTGTCGATATCGATGGCCACCTGAGAGAGAGAGAGAAAGAGAGCCGAAAGAGAGGACTCGGCGCGCGATTGTCAGAGACAAACAAACTATGCGGACAACGATGTCATCCTCGAAGACTACAACAACAACGACGGTCATCGCTGTCAAAGACAATACCAGTACTAATCGTTGTCGCGGAGGAGGAGTAGATCCATTGGCAGCCTCGACATCGACAGTAATGATGATGACGACCAATATCAACAACACCAACAACAACATTACCATCAACAGCAGTACTAGCAGTCGACCGCCGTCGGCCATTGCCGTCGACGAGTTCAATACATTGATCCGATGTCATCTATGCAAAGGCTATCTTATCGACGCCACAACACTCACCGAATGTCTTCACTCGTGTAAGTCATCCGGTAGAGAGCCGTCCAATTGGTTTTTCAATTATAGCAACCAATTGGTGGTTCATATCTCGACAATAAATCCTTTACATTTTTTTCATTGATTTTTTTTTAATTAATATCTCTTTTTGTTTGTATGTCTGTCACAACAACAACAACACCTGATCTGATCCCGTTGTTGGTGTCTCATCATTATATATCATATATAGTTTGCAAGACTTGTATCATTACTCACTTGGACTCGAATACTCCGAAGTCTCGTTTCTGTCCTCGTTGTGATCAACAGATACACAAAACCAAACCACGACTTAACATACGTAGCGATCCGACACTTCAAGACATTGTCTATAAGCTGGTGCCCGGACTATACAAAAGTATTTTTTTATATTGTTTTCTTTGTGTGTGTGTGTTTGGACAACCATTTTATAAACTTAATTGATTATCCATTAGATCTGATATTGTTTTTTTTTAAATAAATAAATTTTATTTATTTATTTTTTTAATCCATTTCTTTACCATTGAATAGATGAGATGAACCGACGCAACGAATTCTATAGTAAAGAACCAGAAAGTGGTAAGTCTTGTCTTTATAAGTCGATGTTATGATTATTTTGATCCCATATTGTCGCTCAATAAATGATAATTTTTTAAAATTTTATTCAGCCATAGGTCTGTCCAGTGAGGAAAAGGGCGAGATGTCCGGCGAACGGCTAATATTTACGCCCGAAGACCATATTTATCTGTCCATTGAATACTTTCCGCAAGTGATCTCCCATTCGTTGATGCCATTCTCAAAGAATCTGACCAACGGTGCACTCAATAGTGTAGTTCTACCGTCACCAGCGGCGGCGGCGGCCGCTAAATCACAGTCGGCCACAAATGGTTCCGTTCGCAACGGCAGTTCGGAGGACGGAGCCGACAACAATACTATCAGTGATGGCGACAACAATAGTCAGCGCCGTTATCTGAAATGTGAAGGCGGTATGCGTGTCGTACACTTGAAAAAGTGGCTGAAATCGAAATACGATATCAAATACGATGACAATGATATCGAAATTTTATATAAACACGACCCGCTTGTTGACGACTATACGATGATCGACTTGGCCTACATTTATTCGTGGAGACGGGTATGWTATGTGCATATATTTTATKCTACCAGTGCTMTCTCTCTACAAACGGTTGTCATAATAACTAACTCTCTATACCTCCCCCTCTCCCCACMTATAGAATGGTCCTCTATGCCTATATTACAAAATTATCGATCAGAAAAAACTGCTGCCACCGCCACTCCCGCCCCTACCGAAATTACCACTGACCAACAACAACACAGCGACTACCACCACCACCACCACTGGTATTATCGACGATGATGATGATGGTAACAATCGGTTGTTCCGTACGCCGGCATTAAAACCGAAACGACATCACACCCACAATACTAATAACGGTGCACATCATCGATGCAAAGGTATGGCCACTACCACGACCACCACTCCCACACCGAACAACAATAACAACAACAAGAGAGCCAGAATTAGTTTGTCGACAATCAATGAGTCGCATCTGATTACAACAAATCCAGTTAACGAACCGCTGCCACCAGTGGACAGCCAATTGTTCAACAAAGTTATTGCCAACAATACTATCGAGTTTATGAAACCTATTGTACCCGTAATGAAGAAGAAAAAGAAGAAGATGATGATGAATACAGCCCCTAATAAAATCGGAAAACCAGTAAACGGTGTTAAATATGATACCATTGGCGACGCTGGTAGTGGTGGTGGTGCCGGTGCTGCTAATTGGTTGATAAGTCATTCAACAACAACAACAACTGTTGCGCCACAAAAAACAAAAAAATCTGCTGTTCCTAAAGCTAAGAGAAAAAAATTATCATCAGATCTCAGCAGCACTGGTAGTATAGGTACCACAACTACTGGTACTACTAATGTTGTTGTTGGCGTTACTAATAATATGCTCAACAATAACAACAACAACAACAACAATGGTTTAGTAGTCAAAGAAAATGGCATCAAATCGGTTGTCGCCGCTGTTGTTGACAGCAATGGTATTACTAAGAAAACTAAGAAACAAAATAATAATAATAATAATAATCAGAAAAAATTAAAGACTAATAATAATAATAATAAAGTTAAGAAACAAACAGTCAAAACACTAGTACTCAATAACCAAATGTCCAAAGCTGTCGGCGGCAGTGGTAGCGGTGCCGCCAATCCTATGTTAACTACGATTACCTCAATCACAACTGTCAACAATCATAATTGTATACCGAAATTGTCATCATCGGTAAACATGACATCCAACGCTGCATCAACCATAAGCCCAACAAAATTGTCGTCAAAATTATCATCGATGACAACCATCACACCGTTGACTATAACGACTGAAGCCGCCGCAGTAGTCAACACAACAACTCAACCGCCGTCCAGTATTAGCCAAAAGACTACTACTACTACAGCATCAACCGCTGCCCCGTCCACTGTCCAAACAGTTACCACTGCTGCGGCTAATACTCACTTCACTACTCCATCATCACTAGCAGTCGTCACTCCTTCTGTCACATCATCATCACCATCACTGATCAACACATCACCCATTATATCCATAACACCAGTCATCGCCACCACTACCACCACCACAATGTCGTCAAACAATACACCATTTTTATCATCATCAACATCATTGACTACCGTCAACGACAACAACAACACTGACCATCCATTAACCATAACCACTATCATATCCATGACTAACAATACAACAACAATCAACTCAACAACAACTACTGCCGACGACACCAATAGTTCAACTAATACTACAACAACAACTGCTGCTACTCCTACTACTACTACTACACAGTCAACCATCACTTCTACTAGCAGTAGTCCATTATCTGTCGTCACTACGCCGTCCACTAACACATCATTGACATCAACTACAGTGTCTTCCAATCAATGCTTAACTACGAATTCTACTACAACTACTGGCACATCCATCGGCGGTAATGATCTGAACGGTGATTCCATTGCCGCCGCCACCGACTCAGCAGCAGCTCCTCAACTATCGCCACTGTTTGCCAGTATGGCCGCCGCTGCCGGCGTTTCCATCGACATAGTGGACAACGATGGTAACTTAGATCGTACCGCTGCTTCCGTGGAGGCGCTCAAGAGTGTCATCAATAAAATCAATTCGAGTAGCAGTCCATTTTACATACGATCCAGTCCATTTCATGTATCAAAGTTTATACCCAACTATAGTAGTCAATAGAGAGGATGTGTTGAGTTGGGTTGGCCCTAGTATAGGGAGTGATGGGTGGGTGGGACTCAAGTAGTTGTGTGCAGATGTTTGATAATATGCATACCGTTCCGTCCCCGACCGCCCATCCCTTGAATGCCATTTTTTTTGGCCATAGATTGGAATTGACGGCATATTTCTTAGTCTTATTTAGTTTTTATTTTTATTATAAATATTTAATTATCTAAATAAATAATAATAATAATAAATATTGTTATTTTTCTATATATATATATAATATGATAAAAGTATTCAAAAAATATTTTTATTTTTCGATAAACTATTGATTTTATTTTGAAAAAACATATGATTGGAAAAAAAATAATATTTGATTTTTATAATTATCAAAAAAAACTTATATATATATATATATATATGATATATTTTTATATAATGTTTAAAACTTTTTTTTATATACCGATATTTTTTTACATTAAAAATCATTCACTGCACTATATATATATATACAGTATATATACAAATATTTATATACGATATATATTTTATATACAGTATATATAAATATATTTTTTATATACACAGTTATTATTAAGCATAGATTTAATAATAATAATAATAATAATTTCAACAATAAATAAATAAACATCATCAAATGCCATTTGAAATGCCAAAAAAAATTATTTGATGTTTAAATTTATATAATAATAAAAAATGTTTGTTTTTTTGTATGTATATTACAAAAGTTTTTTTTTGTATGTATTTATATTTTGTATACATTTTATTATGATTTTTTTAAATAATTTTTTTTACATTTTTTTATAAATTCACAAATAAATAAATAATAAATATATTTTTAAAAAAACTAAACAACTAATTGTCTTAAATAATTTCTATGGTATTGTAAGTTATTTTTTGAATTGATTTTTAACCGATAATATATTGATTATATATAATTGAAATTATAATATAATAAATGAAAATAGTTTTAATAATTACAACAAATAATAAAATAAAGAGATCAAACATATTATAAACTAACTATTAATAAGTATTATATATTTAATTTTAGTTAAAACTTAATATTTTTAAACATATAATTTTAATAGATTTAGAAAAATATTATTAATTTTTATTTAGTGTTAATAAAAATACTGTAGTAATAATACAATAGTATAATATAACTATTTTTGTAATTTTAATAAATGGAAAATTATTTGCTAAAATATTATGAAATTCAAAAAAATACAAACAATAATAATTTACATGAAAAACAATGAAAAAAAACATTTGATTTTAATTTATATGAAATTATAATTTTTCTAAAAAAATTGTCATTTAACTATTATAAGTTTTGTAATAGTTAAAAAAAATATTAGCTATCTATTATTTGAAAATTAAAATCTATTATTTATTATTATATATTTAATAAATTATAAAATATTAAATTAATAAAAAAAATTATTAATATTTAAGTTTTTTTTAAAAATAAATATTTAAAAGTAAATTAGACAAGATTATTATTATTATTTTAATATTTTAAATATATAAAGTTTTGATTTAAAGATTTATTTTTAAAAAATACATTGAAAATATAATTATAAGATTATTTTTTAAAAAAAAAAGTTAATAAAAAAATAATTAAATATATATCATAGTTAAACTTTTTATTTTTGTAGTAACTAAATAAATTCAATTTACAGTATTGTAGTTTTAAGACAATTTATTTATGTAAATTATTATTATTATTATTAATATTTGTCTATTTTTAACTTGTGGGCATTAAAAAAAATTTTTTAATTGAAAAAATAGTTTTAAAATAATAATATTATTATATATTAAAAATAAAGATAAATAAATTGAAATTTTTAATTTATTCAAAGAGAAAATATATATTAATATATAGATATATTTTGTATATTTAATTATCTAATATTTACTATAATTTTTATCTAATCTATAAGTTTTTATATTAAAAAAAAAAAGATTTGAGTAAATGTGTTATAATTTTAGTTATATAATTATTTTAATATAAATGTAAATGAAAAATTAATAATGTTTTTATAATTATTACATTGAAATAAAAACAATGAGATAAAACTTAGTATTATATATTTAACTAATTTATGTCAATTTTTTTTTAATTATCATTTATTTATTTAATTTATAATTATTAGTTAATAGAAAACTACAATTATTTTTAAAAAAATATTAAATATACAGTATTATATATTTAAAAAAACATAATAATTTATTAAAATTGTAGTAAAATTTATTAAAAATATATACTAATAATTTTATAACTATTTAAAAAAACATATCAAATAAATATATATAAAAAAATTATATTATATTCCCTTATTTCCTGGGAATTCCTAGAAAATCAATTTGCTTTTTAAAACCTATTGATAACTAAAAAACACCAACAAACTTGATGTTTTAATGTTTGATTAAAAAAAAATCAATATATATTAAAATTATTTGTCGTAGTATTGAAATAAATTTAATTGAAAACTAAATTTTGTTTTAAATTGAAATTTATTTATTTTTAAAAATAAATATTTGAAATTAAAATAAATAAATAATTTATTGTAAAAATATTTGTAAGCTTTTATTTTATTCAACTTACATATATATTGGTGGATAATATATAAAATAAATATATATTTTTAAAAATTTTCTCTAACAATTAAAGTGATAATAAAAAATATTTCCATATTTTCCCGATTTTGTGGGGGAATTAGTGGGAATTTTTCACTTTTAAATAAAATTTTCCCAATTATTTTTCATTTGTGGCCCGAACTCTACTAAATTATTAGATTATTATATGTTGCATATACTGTACAATCAAATTGTTAATGCATTGGCGCCTATAATCTACAGTAGAATACACTATATGAGTACAGTAAACACTATTAAATTTTATTATTATTATTACAAATCAATTGTCAATCAAACCAATTAATACCTGTTTTATAGACAACAATAACAACAACAAAACACACGTGTGTTTTGCTGACCAAACAATTATCAAACAATTATTTCATCGGATAATTGTCTTTCAAAAAAAAAAATAAATCAAATTATTATCTAATTATTTGAATGCCATTGTCCTCATCGTCGTCGTCGTTGTCGTCATCATCGGTATTGTCGTTGTTATCGTTAAACCAATTTTGCCAATCGATCGTATCGTTTGTCGGCAATCGTCTGATGTCGGTCTTGTGGTTACCGACGACTACGACTAGGACGACGACAGCCAAAGCCAAATGGTCGCCAAAATTAGTGGTCGACGGCGGCGGCGCCGGAAATCGTAGCCAAACAAACAGGTCGTCGTCATCGGTGGACACCAATGTTAATGATGCCGGTAGTGGTTCAACGGTACTATCGCCGCCGCCAACGCCAACCAGTGGTCAACTACCAGCGATTACAATGGGATTACAGGACACAGTCAACGCCACAACTGCCACCACAACCACCACTAAAGACTTGGAACAATGGTTTGGTCGCCAGTTGTCTGGCATCGACTTAACCGACTATAAGTTTGACATTGAAATGAACGGCACTAATGCAGCCGACAGTGTTGTCGACGTCGTTGTCAATGACCATAAAAGTGATGATAAGACTGTCGCCGCCGCCGCCGCCGGTGACGACATCAATAACAACAACAACAGTTTTAGTGGACAACAACAATGTGATGACCGATTCAGCCAATTGGTCGACCATATGATGACTACTACTACTACTACTACTACTACTACTACTACTACTACTAACATGGATGACGTTGGCGATGATGATGAAGATATTGACATTAGTTGCGCCGATATTAGCAAAATCACTTGGACTGACATCTCTATGGACACCATTGACGACGATGAAGATGACGACTACGATGATGATGATGATGATCGGTCAACGACGCCAGTTATAGCCACATCGACACCGAAAAAATTGTCGACCGAAAAAACGCCGACTCGTAAACCGAAAGCTGTCAAACGCCCGGCCAAATCGCCGCCGTCGCCTACAAGTTCGAGTACAACCAGTGCGGAAACAGCAGCGGCACCGGCAGTCAAACGAGTCAAATGGCTGAACGATTGTCGTGCCCGCAGCCGTCGGGTTTTGGTGGCCAACCGTTACAATATCGAACACTGGCGACAAAAACAGTTGAAAATGGTGCCGACATTGAAGTTTATACTTAGCCGATATAGTGAACAAAAGTCGGCGGCGGCTACACGAATGGCCAACAATTTACCGAAAGTTTGGATTCACTATAACTGGCCCGACATTAATAGCGACAGTACGGCAACAATCGTCGACAACACCAATAGTAGTACCGGTAGTAGTAGTAGTAGTAGTGTTCAGCCTTTATCGTTGACCGGTTTGATCCGAATGGAGCCGAAAGCTGTCCGCGGCATTAGCGGACAACCGAAAGGTGCCAATGTTGGCAACTGTTTGTGCCATCGGTTAACTGTGCTCAGTGGTCAACTTCGGGTAACACTAGAGGGTAATGATAATCGAGTGATACGTGTTGACCAACAGATTACAATACCCGAACGGAGTCACTATTTTATGGTCAATACGGCTGATGTCGATGACGACGGCGGCGGCGGCGGCGAGACTATTGTCCACTTTGAAGTGTCGGGTAGCGTTACATTGATTGATTGATTCATTGGGGGGCACTGGTCCTCCCGTTCTCAATATATCGTAAGTTACAAAGTTAATAATAATAATTAAAACCGGTATATAAATTGTTTTTGTTTTATATAAACATGATTTATAATTTTCATTTAAACTATTTGTTTCTTTTAAATACATTATAATCTAATTACCGGTAAATTAAAAAAAAAATTAAAAACTTATAATATATAACATACCGGTATACACATTATATATCATCTAATTTTATATAACAGTATAATAATAGTTTATAATCTATATATTTTTTATTAGTAAAAAAAACAAAAGTAAAATACAAGTATTTTTTTAATACATTATATTTTTATCAAACAAGTCTACAAAAAAATAGCATAATATTAGTGACATTTTTGTTGTTGTTGTTGCTTGAAGTAACATAAAATATGATACATTTTTTTTTTGATTTAGGAAAAAAATAAATTTAAATTACAATTTTGCAAAAATCAAATAGTTTTTTTTGTTTAAATAACCAAAAAAATAAAATAAAATAATATTCAATCAAAAAATAAATAAACTTCACTTTAAAAAACAC